GCCGAGGGACCCGCGCGCACGTGCACACGCACCTGGCGCTAGCGCCCTGTGGACCTCCACTCGCGAGACGCAAGACAAGTCCGCGCAGAATGTTGGGGATTTGATCGAGCTATCGAAATAAACTTGTTACTCCAGTGGATCGGTCCGTTTACGGCGGCTTTGCTTAGATTTAGACCTGACAATACTCCTTGGCTCGACCCCCAGCCTCCTGCCCCCAGTAAGGAAACACGGGGTGAACGCAGATCAAGAAACACGAACTGTTATTCAAGTCACGAAGAAACAAGGATGAGATTGAGGGCGGGCACTAAATCGGGGCGCAGGCGGCAGTCCAGGGTGCGGCACAACCGACTGGGAGGCTCAAGGGTCTGCCCGAGCTAGGGTCCCATGTGAGGAGCCTCTGTCCCAAAGTAGCATCGGGCATTGCATGCACCCCTGCACCAGTGTGGGCCACAAGCGAGAGCCAAGTGTGGAGCCTGCTGGCCAGGCCAAGACCCCTGCCGGCCAGGTCCAAACAGTCTCCGCAGAGGTGGCTCCTTGGTAAGTGACCTTGCATGAAGGGGGAGAGGGGAGGAGGGGAAGGGAGGTCTGAATTTGTCATTGGCCAGTGAGGATGGTTGTCCTGGAGGCTGGGGAGGTTGTGTGTGTGTGTGTGTGTGTGTGGGTGTCCCTCTCTCCCTCGCTGTGGTCCACGTCCTCTAGGTGCCCAGAGAAGGAAGAGCGCCCAGCAGTGGCTCCTGGGCTGAAGGGAAGGGTTATGGAGCCGGTGTTTGTAAAACTCACCAGCGCGTTGGTGGCCTAGAAGCCAGGAGGAAGAGAGAAGGGGATCTAACCGCTTTTCCATCCCATAGAGATGGCAGCAGCAAGCAGTTTCAGGGCAGTGGGAGGGCAGTGGACAGAGTGGGGTGAAGCTCGGAGTGTGGACTCTAGTTTTCATCTCCGAAGGAAGGGCTTTTTTCCGTTCTCTATAAAAGCCCGCGTGATGCGCGTGGAAGGCACTGGGTAACTGTAAGGTGAACGGTGGGGATTGGCCTCTTCTTTCACTGCGACAAAGCGACCCCTTGCCGGCTCCGTGGCGCAGGCCACCTCCGCACCTCGGGGCAACCTCCTCCCTCGCACTCGCACAGGCCGATCGCGCCGCCAAGGACGCGGCAGTCTGGTCGGGAGCAGAGCAGCGACCGAGCAGGGCGCCGCGGTTCCAAGGTGGATTCCCATACACTAGACTGGACGCCCAGTTAGCCGCTCCGGGTTTCCAGATTTTAAACATAAAATGCCAAGAAAGCAAAGTTCATGGGGCCACCTTCAGGCAGAGACGAAAAGGGGAATTCAATCCAGTGGGCTTTAACTCGACTTCCAGGGGAGTACGGCGTGAAATTAGTCAGACACAGACCTCTGCCTTTTTCCCTCCCAAGATCAAATCACACTTCCCAAGACCAAATCCCACAAATGATATTACAAACATCTCCGAATTATGATAGAAAATTAGTTGAAATTCTCTTTAATTAATGTAGCAGCTTTGGAGCTAGTGCAGAATGACATGAAATACCTCCCCTGGGACTCTCAAAGCGTTAGGAGTTTGTGCCCTCTCCCCCATTT